GCCTCGCGGAGGATGTCCTGCCTGCGAATGGCTTCTTTGGCGTTTACCGTCGCGACGATGTTTGCACGCCAAGCTCCTCTTTTAGCGTCAAAAGTGCACGATTTTTCGCTATGGTCACGGAGCGCGCGTCGCGTGTGCGGCGACCTCTGACTTGGTCTTAAAAATCCAAAGAGGTGAAATACGAGATCCTAGGGACATTCTGATTCTATACACGGACACAACGTTTTGTGTGGCCGTTACAAGTCACAATAAAGTTGTGAATATAACGTCGTGCTTTTTGTTGGGAACCTCGTATACGTACGGCCATGCCGGAACCTCGTATCACTCGTCCACGCGTCCTTTGTGCTGCGTTATTTTACAGGGTTAGGAAGACACCATGAACGTAAAGCTGTCCATAAAGTGCTAGGCGTTCGCCCTTCGTTAAGGACCGACAGCAATATGGAATTATAACTTAAAGAAGAAACAATTAACATTCACATTCCATTCCACTGCGGGTCTTTGAAAGAAAACTCTTCTAAGGACAGTGTTTTTAGAGAAGGCCATCCTCGTGCGATCTGTGATGCCTGTTAATATTCACAGGTTGGCATTAGTGACAAGCTAAAAAACGTTTTTAGTTACTACTGTCTACCCTCTCCCCCTTCCCCTACCCCGCCTCCTCCTTCTCGCAGCACAGTGAAGCAACCTCTATTTCATGGGCCATTTGTGAGCAAATGTCCGATAACAGGAAATATGACGTACGCCTAATTACATCGCAGTCAGGCCAGCCGTCTTGCCTTCAACTGACCTTTCTCGTCGATGCTCGACTAGGCCGTGCCGTATTGTCGAACAATACCAAAATTCTCCACAAGGGCAGAAACGTCTTCCCAACACTGCATTTCTCAAAAGGGCAAAACGAACATTAACCTCGATTTTAACGACAGCTACCGCACAAATGCGATATAAACGCAACTCCGCACTAGTCTAAATTGTCGCAACGTTAAATACGAGCGTTAACGTGACTTCTGGCTAACCTTAAAAAGAAGAAAAAAAGTTACCTAATGATGGCCGTAATGCAACTAAACTGTCAACGCCTGCAGCGGCTCGTCGACGACTGCAGACGGGAAATTGATTGCGAATCCGAAACCAGAGTTGCACACGAAGTTTCGTGGACGTTCCGTATGCTGGTGTCGTCGGGAGTGGAGGACGCGCGTGATACATCGCTGTTTCCATAAAACGCTATAAAACAAGCCGTCTATTTCTATTTATATATCAATCTACGTATAAAAGCAATTTTTTCTCTCGCTTTTGAGTGTTTGTTTAACGTTTGGGTCGCGGGATGGAGCGGGGGATTCTCCTCTCGGGGTTGTCTCGAGAGGACGTGCGGCCACTGCAAACGACGCATTTAGCGGCGCGCTCCACGCAGGGTCCTCGCTAATGTTTCCGTCCCGCGCTGCCCATAGAACGGGTGGACGGTGCCTGATGCCTACTGCCGGAATCGCGTTCATTCTTTTAAATGTTTTAGTAGTTCAAACGTTATATCCTAATCTAATTTTTGCAAAACGCCCCCGCCCCCCCTCCCCTCTCCGGCTCCAAGAAAAGATAAAGAAAATCCTATAAACAAGCTTGATTATGCTGACGGTTTGCGTTGAGCGCAAGCAACCACCTCGCAGAAAGTAATGTCACGTGACTTCAGGTCTCACATGACGTGGTCACGTAACGTGACACCAATTTCCCCGCTAAATTTAGCGGGGAAATTGACATCATATAGGTTCAGGTCAAACGACGTTGTCCCTGAACTCCTATATTTCGCCGCTAAACTTAGCGAGGGAATTGACGTCACGTGACAATAATTTTCCCACTAAATTTAGCGGGTGCGTTTACGTGATGATTGCTCATAACACTCTTTCGTGACGGCTCTTCGTGAGAATTTTCTCTTGGAATTCGATGGGCTGATAAATAAAACATTAAGCGTTAAACACACACAGACACACACAGGTACACACACACACACACACACACACACACACACACACGCAGATAAAAACGCAGAAACCCCGTAAACCTGAATGATAGATGTACCATCCATAGCAAAATTCCTTCAAAACGCCCGACATCGCTCTTTGGCAACCAAACATCTAGTCAGAGACAAGTCAAGAATGCGCCGGAAGGTCCGCCGGCCTCAAGGGTGAGCTTTCCCTCAACCGTACCACTTCCGGGTCTCGTGAGCATGCCCAGCGAAAGTACGACGCAAACATAGACTCATTCGATCCAATTCGTACTTCCTTCTCTATTTTCGAGAAACGTCATCACACAATACACGACGGCGCGAACTCGGCGATTGGCGCCCACCATTCGACGCTGAGCGTCCGCAATTTTAGAGAGTTTTAGGAAAGCGTTTTTTGCACGAGGCCTGCGCGCGGGATGGAGTAATACATGTCCTCCACATCAATAGAAAAACCGGAAGCGATGAGGTGCCCTTGATCTTGAAGGAAGGATAGGACACGCTCCCAGTTTGCTATGCGGAAGGTCTTCAATCTGTACGTTGGAAATTTGTTGCACATCCAATACGGTACGCGGTGGGTCCTCCGGTATACGCACTGCGCATGTGCGAGTCTTCCGCGGTAGCGCATGCGCAGTTCGTACCGGAGTGCCTTCCGTACCGTACCGGATGTGCAGAAAACAGTTCCCTACAACTCTCTATTATAATACTGAAAGCGACCGTATATGGGTGTCAAAGTTTCTAATGCTGTGTTTACACCGCTAGTACACCATACAAGAACTGTCTGCAGACACCTTCGAAGCGTGTATTCAGCCTTCGAACGCACTTGAGGCCTGTCCGCGGATAATTTTGTCGTCGCCTCTGCAGGGAACCGCGTGTCCTTTGTATGGTGCATGCGCAGCGTGATTGCGCCTTTACAATCAGACAGCATTGTTCCACTATTACACCGAAGAACAGGGCGGCGTTAAACGCCGGGTTTCGGAAAAGGAGTGGCATAGCCTCCTCTTTACTGACAAAGCCTGGCAGATTGCCACGAAAAGCGGCCGCCGAAATGGGAAAGGTGGAGCGGCAAACAACGGACGAGAGGACAGACACGTGACCGGCGCCCCGCTGCGGCGAGACGCCGGTACGCACTTCTCCCGAGAGAACAAGTGTGTTTCGGGTCCTCGCCGCTGCAAAAGCATTGCGCTGACGTCCAGGTTCCCCGAGAAATGGCTCTCTGATGCTTTGTGCTACCAGATCCTTGCGCTCCAAATCTGCGACCAGGTACTTTATGGCTCCGTCGTCGAACTGCCAGGCCTTGTAAGTATAGAGGTGGCTATAGCAGTGGAGACAACGGGTGTTGAAAACCCGGAGAAGGCAGAATGTATTTCATCCCGCAACTCGTGCCCAGTCCTATCAGACATCATTTGCGCGAGCCTATATATCTGCAAACAAAACTCAAGGACAGGCAGCTTTAAGAAACAAACATAGGATTCCGTCTCTCTTTGCTTTGATTTTTATCTCTTCATCTTTTGATACTTCTTCCCCTTCCCTCAATAGCAGACTACCACATTCGAGCAAGCTTCACTGTTAGTTTTTTTTCTTTTCTTGCTCGTTTCCACATCTATCTACGTTACTATTTATCTCGTTTTACGAAATCGCGCGTTCGTCAACACGCATCGGACAGTACTGCACAAAACCCTCGATATCTAGTGTCGGTGAAAACGGTTCGGAGAAGCTACGTCATCGTAAAGGCGCTCTGCCCGAGTTTATTTTGTAACACGCCGTAAAGGGCTTTCGTCGTTTAGTAGTTATAAACTCCGGCTAATATCAGCACGAACTCGTGCGGAGCTCCTGAATCCTCCGTATAACATTATTTAGGCTCTCTTTTTTTCTTACCGGCTTGCCATCTGATCACTATAGGAAATGTAATTAAATCTTCATATACCGATCATTTTTTTAGCAATAATATAGATCGTAGTCACTGTCAAAAAAAGACAAAATACATAACTTGAAGGCACCGAGGACAATGGCAACACGTTCGCACCTCAAATCTAAACACATTTAATGTTCTCTTTTTTTTATATTCCAGGGATAATGAAATTAATTTTGAGCTGGGATAAATGACTTTAGGATGGGATTTTACTAACCGCACATGGGTTTGGCGTTCCAAAACAGAGGGTAGAAAGTCAAAGGCTTGCTTTTTGCTACGTAAATCTGAAAATATGGCGGACTATTTCGTACCTCCTCTCCTTCAAAAACTCTCCGTCTTTCCAGTGTGATGCATCCGTGGTACATAAGCAAGTCAGCCGAACTCAGCTCACACATTGGCAAGCTGCGTCACTGGACGTAGGCGCTCGTCAACAATCAATTCGTCGACGAATATGCGGATGTCCGTTCGTGGCCAATGAGTGCCGTGACGGCACTTATCATCACTCGCGAATGACAAGTTTCATGGTGTGCTTAGAAAGCATAGGGGAAGCTTCGAGTGATTGCATTCGGTGTTCAAGCATGTCACGACCACGTGATGTCTCATTTAGCTTTTGAGTTCAGGATTCAAGCTAAGAAGAAAGAGGTTGAAAAATCATTTTGTGGTCCCTTTCGTATAATTACAATTTTTGGTTGCTTTCTCCCTTGCATCTTAAGAGACTAACCCGTTGCAGGACGAACTTATCTGAAAACTATAGTCGGTAAGAGGTTAAAGGGTTAAAGGGATTGTTCGGTAAAATGTTGTCTTTCAGAAAACAATAGAATTATATTGTCATTGCTTTTAGGAATATCATATCCGCCCAAGATCCGAATTTTTAATCCTCCACCGCAAAAGTAATTCAGTTTTAAACAGAGCTCGACTGCTCAGATTGTACCTGCAAAAGACACATTCGGTCCCTATCTGATTGAACTCAAGCGCAAGGCGAGAAATGCGGGTTGCGACCACAAAACCATGCAGCTTCTAATTTCATGCTCATCACTTCGACCGATCTTGTCCGGGTCCCACGTACACACGCAACCTAAATTATTCGAATAAAAGTGACGAACTTACCCGCGGGGCATATGCATTCGGCTTCTGGACTATCCCTTTTACTCCTAGTAAGGGGCTTCTGAAACAGAAAAGATGCGGAACAGGGTGAGCTTTTGACAACACGCGCAATACTCCGCACAGCTAATTATTACTTTTTTTTTCTTTCAGCGCCACATTGTCGAAACTACCGCAACTTCAGCAATGATCCAACCCCGTCAAAGCTAGTACCGCGAGCGCGTGCGCATGAGAGGGAAGACGGGGAAAGACGTGCTCTCGCAGCAGTGCGGGGCTTTAGCTGCAACACGTGTGGAAGCTACGGTAGCCTCGACAATGCAGCACAATATAGTCGACCATGAGCACAGGTAAACAAACGACAAACACCGCTCACACACATGTCCGTTAGAACTTACAACTAGCTGGCAATATATATATGTATATATATACCAAAGGACAATGTTTGCGAACAGGGAATACTGTGGAAGGCTGCTCGGATTGCCAGAGGGCTGATTCTGTGTTTGTTTGAGGAAGCAATTGTTGTTGGTATTGATAGCGAGAGGAGGAGAGTAAATACACACCAAATTGTTGTTTATGAACGAGCGCGTGGTCGCACAGTTGCGTCGGAACAGGGGGAAGGGTGATCGCTCCCTAGACACAGATGCACGCTCTAAGTAATCTCAAGCGTTTAATTTCCCGCAGAGCACTTGAGAAAAACAATCACCGCAAACTACGGAGGAACCACGGTAAACAACAAGACTGGACAAAAAAAAAAAAACAATTATGCATTACTACACTGAGTTAGAGGTTCCAGTCTGCTCAGTTTCGCGGCTCAGGCCGTTTAATTAGGTTTACATTCAATACATTCACAGTCAGCCTTGTTACTCGCTGACCTCTTTTTGTTGATTGTAGCAATCGGCAGATGCCAGGAGTTTGCGCGAAGGTATACGTTCATGACTTCTTGAAGTGCAGATATTTACAACGTTTCTCTCGAATAATTCAGAGGAAGGGGAGCGAAATCATCATCCCTCTCTCTCCCGATCACTTCCGGTCACATAACTCTTTTACACGTTACTAAAAAGAAGAAAAAAAAAAAAAACAAGTGATTGATTACAACTACAATTACTCTTGATTAAAAGGTATTCAATTAGATTACTTGATTAATACGAAAAGAAAAGTAGTTGGTAATTAGGTTATTAATAAATTAACCGTTACTTTTACGATTACTCAAAGGGATACCGAACCGAAATATGGAGCTCACAAAACAAGGCTGGAGCAATGGGCAAAACGCTGCAAGCAAAAAAAAGAAAAATCGTTCAGCCTTTTCACTTTCATGAAGAAGGAAGAGCAGAGGAGCTGTACTCGATACACTGTGCGCTTCTTCTCCATCGTCATCTGTTTTTCGCGCTGTTCGCTACGATGAATTCCCACCAACGCGCCCAACTATCCATTCTTCTATTATAGCTGGAAACGTTGCCGCCATCTACGAGCGACGACGGAAACCATACTGGTTGTGTGCTTGCCGCCGACGCTTATTGATAGCGGTAGCTGTCCAGGTTGGTTTGCGTCGACATACACGGACACGATCCTGGGGAACCTAGCCCTTGACAGCTCCGCTTAATAAAAAAAAAAAAAAAAAAAAAAAAAAAGAAAGAAAGAAAGAAAAAAAAACATTTGTATTCCAAAATATTTAACGGATGGCCGTATTTTTGGAAAAGAAATGCGCGATTGAACACGGCCGATGAGGCCGACAAGACATGTGACGTCACGATTCCCATGACTTCTCCTCATCGCTCCGTCCCGTCGAGCTGGTGAACCGAAGCGCCGGGAAAGAGGAGCGAGGCCGCCTCCCCTCATTCGCAATTGTTCTAGGAGGATCGTGACGTCATAGTCCTCGCTTCATCGTGCCCTTCTTTCCCGAAAATCCGGCCATCCGTTATATAGATATCGATGTATGAGTGATGTCTTGGAGTTGGTAGCGTCTCCCGTTCAACGCTTCTGCGGTCTTATTTTGCAAAATCCAAATTTCGGTTGTGTTTGCAAAATAAGGCCACAGAAGCGTTGAATGGGACGCTACGAACTCCAAAAGATCACTCCTACATTGATATCTCATACAGATGGCCGTATATTTCTGGAAAAGAAGGGGGCGATCGAGCGAGGACTATGACGTCAGGATCCTCCTGGAACAGTTGAGAATGAGGGGAGGCGGCGTCGCGTCTCTCCTCCTCGCTTCGGTTCACCAGCTCGACGGGACGAAGCGAGGAGGAGAGGGAATGAGAATCGTGACGTCACATGTCTCGTCGGCCTCGTCGGCCGTGTACGGTCGCGCACTTCTTTTCCAAAACAACAGATATTCGCTAAAGATATCGCTGTATGAGTGGTGTTTTGAGGTTTCGCAGCGTCCTGCCTATTGCTCCAGCACTGTAAGTTCCAAATTTCGGTTCATTCTCCCTTTTTAAAATCTTCAAAAACGACCGATTTTTTTTTTTTTTTTCTGCCGGTTCGAAGACCGAGTTGTTCGGACTGTCCATGATTGGATTAGAATCGCTGTACTAGAAACTCATTATCTTCTTAGTCCACCAATAGGAAGTTTTAGAGAACCGTGTTCGCACATCCAAAATGGTACGACGAGCCCTCCGGTATAAATTGCGCATGCGCCACAGCAGAAGTCTCTCACGTGCGCAGTTCGTTCCGGACGGCCCACCATACTCTATCGGATGTGTAAAAACGACTCCCTAAAACTCTTTCATTTCGGTAACCCATCCTGTTGTCGGAGACTTGGTTAGAGGATTCCTTCGTAGAAAACTCGTACAAGCAAAAGGTACCACTAGGAAGGGAAGAGAAAAATAGTAAATGTCACGGGTAATTTTAGTACTTCCAAAATTAATAGGATTACTCTCGTGATTACTTCCTAATAAATCTACTCAAACGATTGCAACGTTACTCCAAACAGTAACCGATTACCAGTAATTTGATTACTTCTAATGAGTATACCGTACAAGTCTGCGGCACACAAAAGCTGTGTGCGCGGCGCAGGCGCAGAGAATGACACGATGCAAATGTGTCCAGAGAATGTTCTCAGTTTGTGCAAAAAAATATTGTCTCGCAAGGTCGAGACACGAAAAATATGCCAGTCAAGCGCAACTTCCTGCAACCATGTTGTAAGATGTTTGAGTAATGACAACGAGGGGCTTTGAAGTTGTGGCGCAGTCTAAGCGTCCGTACAGACTTTAACATTTTAGCGCGGTGGCTTGCACAAAGCTGCGACATCTCAAATTAAAAAAAAAAACACTTTTTTTTTAATGTTAAAATAGGTGTAAAGCAAGTGAGAGAAAAAAAATGTCTTTGTAAGTAAAAACGTGCAACTGCGAAAGCAGATAGGGAATGTTTCGCTATAGTAGCATTCTGACCGGACTTATACACCGGACTTTAAATTGCCGATCCACAGTCAGGCGTGGAAACGTATTGCTCACTTTGACAGTTTCTATAAGCACGCGTGAGTTCATCGCTTAATAAAAAGCGAGCAAGAAAACGCATCACACGCATGAACGCCGAATATGGCTTCGGTTAGTACCCCCCTTCCCCTCTTTTTTCACAGTTCAGAAAAAAACTAAAGAAAAATACAAGCTGCAAAACGCTCTCACGCCGCTGCGCACCCGTGTTTTTTGCACATTGTTTTGTTTTTAGATAGAACTTTGGGTACTAGGGCACACACGTCTTTGTTTCCTCTTTTTCGCTTCGCTGTGGCTTATGTAATACGGGGCTCATGCTTATCGAAAGAACGAATGTTTGCTAGAATGAACTAAAATAGAGGCCTCGGAGTTCCGCGATCACCGCCAGTTCACCGAAGCGGTTCATTGTGGGCGCGCCATATACAAAACGACAGCGTTCACACCTCCCGCGTCTGATCGCAAGCAAGCATTCGCTCGAGGGTATCGCAGGAGCCAGCGTTCAGTGGCGCGAGAGAATTGTTAACGCAAATTAGTAAGCATTTTTTATTCATTATTTTTATTTTTATCAAGCGTGCGCAAGCTCTTATCGCGCCGTAACTGTAAGACGGAACTTCATATTAAGTATCGACAAAAAGGACGCCACTTTTATGCCTTGCGCTCTGCTTCACAGTCACTCATAGAAACCTCGGTCCATATTGCTTTTGTTGGGGGCGAGGGAAGGGGGGAGGGGAATTTCGTCGTCATTAAAACAAAGGTAATCGGCTGTCAAAAATGAGAAACTGTTCAGTCAAAGTTTTGCGTTATTTCATCGGGGATAACTGAAAATCGTAGAGTAAGATCATACTAAATCCAAATTTCTTCTCAGAGTGAGCTTTTTTCCTGTTTCTTTTTTTTTTTTACATTTCATGGGAGCGGTTTTGGCGACGACAGCACACATGCATATGAGAGAAAACAGGGAATTTTTATGAATATCCTCTGAAGATTAACGTATAATTTTTAGACCTGAATTAGCCGTGCTGGTGTATACACTATAGTATTCCGAGAATATGTTTTACTTTTATATACTACACAACTTTGTTTTTGTGTGTAAATCTTTAGCAAATCTCTTTGAACTGTTCCTCGGTTTGTATTTCGGCACGAGAAAGATAGACCATGATAAACATTTCGGTAGCATCAGGATAAAATAAGCCTGGTAAATATGTTTCTTTTTTATTGCTTCAGTTTCTAGAAGCTGCAGCCATGCACGCCGATTTCATCATCGCCAAGCTAAGGGAAATACCGATCCGGGTGTTTTTTCTTGTTTTTTAAACTGTAATGATGTGTTAAAAAAAACAGTGAAGGCTACAGTTAAGCGCGAAACACACACACGACGAAACCGTCCGATCCGACGTGCGAACTGCCGGAATGACCTTGCGGGCGAGGGTTTTCGTAGCACCGTAAAGCGTTGAAAACCCTCGTCTCCGACCGTCGTATTGCCTGATCGGACGTCGGATCGGACGGTTTCGTCGAACATGTGTTTCGCGCTTTATGCGGTTTGTGCACGTGAGGTATAAGGCCAGGGGGAGATAGTATAAAGGGCTAATCGTAACTTCCAGTCCGCTTTTTAAGTAAAATTTGTTAACTGATTTTAAAT